TTCCCTCCCTTCCTCCCTCTCACTTCCTCCTCCTCGTCATTTATTTTTATTATAATAATAATAGCGAAATGATTTTCACCGAAACGCTCTTTAAAAAAAATTCCCGATTATTATTATTATTATTATTATTATTATTATTATTATTATGAAATGCTTAAACCTTTCGAAGAAAAAAAAAATTTTCCTTTTTTTTCTTTTTTTTTTCCTTTTTCTTATTAAAAATCATCTGACGATAAAAAAAAAAAAAAACATTTAAAATTTTTTAAATGAGGTGACATTTATATATATTTAACTCAACTTATTTTACCCTCCTTCCCCTTCCTTCCCCTCCCTTTCCCAGAAAACAAACAAAAAATAAAGAAAATAAAAAGAAAAAAAAAAAAACTTTTAATTGTATGGGTTTTTGAACTCTCTCCCTTCCTCTTTCTCTCTCAAACCTTTTTATTATTATTTTCATCGCTTTGTGGTTGGACCTTTATAACCTTTTTATATAATAAAAATAATTTTTGACATTCACAAAACGTTCCTCCCCCTCCCCTCGAATCCCCGAATTATTTTTTTTTTTCTTTTCTTTTTGTCGTCGAACAACATCGAAAAATATTAATAATTATCACGATAATAAAATTACTCGTTTATTTAAAAATCTATCGAAATATATGTAATGATAATAATAATAATAATAATAATAGTACGAGGCGGCAAACGAATTTAATTTTTAAACATAAATCAAACATACAAACAAAAAAAACAACAAAATGGTTGTTGAATTAATTTGAAAAACATGAACGGTTTTGTACTAATTTATCTAATTGAATTTTATATCTTAAAATATTTATTTAACACTTGTATAATTTTATTAATTAACAACACTCTAAGTATAAATTAAATATTTAAAATTATTATTATTATTATTATTATCATTATGTTTATTTATTTTTACAGTCAGTCGTCGCGTTCGTTTAAAAAAAAAAAAAAATAAACCGCTCAAGAAAAAAAAATTTTCGTTTCGTTTTGTTTTTCCTTCTCCTTCTTAAAATCCCGCATGTAAATTTTTTTGTTTGTCGTTGTGGTTGTTGTTGTTGTTTAATGGAATGCAAGTCTACGATCGTTGACATAATATCGAAAGTTAAAAAAAAACACATTATTATTATTCGAACGAGTTAATATCCAGACGTAACAACATAATGACGTAAAATGTCAGTGACACACTTGCAACAGGAAAGTTCCCGAAAGGGGATCCTGTTGGGAAATT